CCCCAAAACCCCAAAACCCCAAAACCCCAAAACCCCTTTTGATATAAATTTGATTGAATAGTGGTTTATATAAACCTTCGTTATGGTAAACTTATCCAGAATCTTCATCGCTATTACTAGGTTCTTCATTTTCTCCAGATGATTCTTCTTCAGATCCTGCATCAGAGCCTGCATCAGATCCAGCATCAGATCCTGCATCAGATCCAGAGTTATCTTTGTCATCTCCAGATCCAGTGTAATCCTCACCAGACTCTTCATCAGAAGCATCATCTTTAGATTCCTCACTTGCCTTAGGAAGTGCCTTTCTTTCTTCTTTCTTGGCTTTGGCTTTTGCTGGTTTTGGTTTAGATTTTCTTGGTTCTTTCCCAGCTTTATTTTTATCACCACTCTTTCCTTTTTCTGGATATTCTCTTCTTAATTCAAATTTCTTTTCTTCTAGTTTCTTCTTATCTGGATTTTCCATGCCTTGAGCATGCTCTTCGTCCCAGCTGTCAATTTTCTCGTTCTTTACTCCGTTATCTTCGTCGATGGTTCTAGAATGGTCGTCCCAGAATTCCATTACGTTTTCGTAGTGTTCGAGTTGGACTGGGTCATAACCGATATGATCCAAGATAATGTTATTCTGTTCAATGGCATTGTTATGACTGTAGATTGAATTGTTGTGTTTCTCAATCTCTTGTTTATGCTGCTTCTCTTCAATGGAGTATTTGATGTTCCTGAAGACGTTGTCAAGCCAGACATAAAATGGAATCAGCTTCAAATTCTCTTTCTCAGTGATTGGATGCTTTACTTCTTTGAGCACCTCAGAATATTGCTTAGCGTGCTCTCTGTTGATCTTAGACTCCTCAAGCCTATTCATTGAGCTCATTAAATCATCATGATCAGAGAGGATATGAATTACTTCTTCTTCATTAGCTTTCTCTTTTCCAATGAGACATCCACAGAAAGTCTCTAGCAAGTGAACAGCAATCATATTTGAGCCTTTCTTGTATTGCTTCTTAGCTTTCTTGAGGACCTTTTTAGTGATATGATTTTGTGCCTCCCTTTTTGAATTGTTGCACTCTATTTTTGGAATTTTAATTTTCTCGATCTTATCTTCTTCTTTCTTAATCTGCTCCTTGATATTCTTGATCTGAAGTCTTTTACCATCATTTGTATCATGAATTTTCTTAGCCTTCCTGAGATTTGCTTTTTGAGTCTCGTCTGGATCTTCAGGATCCATATGCTCATTAAGAGTAGACATAAGTGTTGAGTAGGACTCTAATACAGCAATTTCTCTGTTGTTAATCTCAACAGATTTCTCCAATTCTCTCTTCTCAGTGGTGGATTTCTTGAGGATGAATTTAATGAGTTCATCTTTGGAAAATTTGCTTAACTCGTCACTCCATTTCTGCCAGTTGACATTCTTGATTCTTGTTTCAGATAGCGCCATAATTATATTTTATTTTTATATAAATCCTCAGTTTCTTTCTGATATATAGGGGTTTTGGGGTTTTGGGGTTTTGGGGTTTTGGGGTTTTGGGG